TATCATTTTGTTTCTCTTCCGAGTGGTTTTTGTACCCTATTTTTTCTGTTTCTTCGTGGGGTCGTGTATGCCGGGTTGTGAGACCACGGGCTCCCAATCTTTCTTTTTTAGAGCTAATGTGAGAAACAACAACAACAACAACAAAACCGGGGCGACCGGTGGAGTGTCACGAAAGGAAGAAGCCGATCCAAAAGAGGAATAATAAAGAGTCTGGTCTCCTACATATTATCCGAACTGCGACTGCAGTGAATAATAAAGGTATCTGGTCAGTCTACATGGCCGTGTGGTGGCACCCTGTAGACAAACCCCTCAGATGGTACAACCCAGCAAACAAACAAACAAAAAAACGCCCTTCTAAGATGAACACGATACTGACAATGAAGAATTGTGGGCGGGGCTACCAAGAAACCAGGCATCCCGCTCAAGCATACACCGCATGGCGTAGACTGGTGCCCACAACAGATGGAACGAAAGCACAACAAACGCCGAATTAATGAACAACAGGGACCACACAACAACCTCAACAATCGTGACTATCAACAAGGAGCGTCCTGCACGCCTGTAGCGGCTACTACGCCATCCCCACGCCCGTCGCATCGTCACTTTTGTAGCTCAAAAATCTCTCCCACTCCTTCAATTTCATTTTCATGTCCTTGAGTGCCGCTCCGTGCAGCCGATAGGCTCGCCAGATCAGCACCTTTAATTGTTCAGGTGGCGGTGGCAGAGGTAGCAGGGCGGCAGCATCGCAAAGTGTATCAAATGAACAATTGAAGGAGGAGGATTTGAAATCAGCAGCGACGGATCGTAATTAGAAAGGGAAGCACACATGCATACGGACCCTGAACAACAGAGTAGCACCTGTCCATACGCATGACTGCTCCTAGAGCGCTTCGTAATCCTCACATATTACACGTCGGGGCGTCGATTGCCGAATGACTTACAGACAGGGGAGGGGAGACGGCAAACAGGGCGGGTAAAAATAAATAGTGACAAAACATCACCCCACGCGGTGGCGAGTGATCCACGTCCTTGAACACCCTTCCCACAATAGAACCGTGAGGCCTGGGAGAGCCCACACGTGCAGCACCACTGCGGTAAAAAGCGGGGCTTTCACTTGGAAATACCCCCTCCTCAGATACAGCCCGTGGTTTGCCTTGCCATGAACAATGCTACCTGGCCGCTTTCGCCATCATACAGACAAGAGCAAGACGTCTACAGCGTACAAAAGCACAAGGACATGTCGGGCGCGTAGGGAGTTGTGTTCTTCCGTCCCTGTGTGTGTGTGTGTGTGTGTGTGTGTGTGTGTGTGTGTGTGCCAAGCGTCACGTGTATCGATAGAGCCAAGGTCAATGAGACTTTCAAACACCCAAAATCCAACGGCGTTGACGACGACACAAAGAAAGCCACAACCGTGACCTAACCTGAACCAAACTCGTCCACTGGCACCACCCACCTGCACCAGTCCGCACCCGGCTGGCACTGCCCACATGAGCGTGAACGCCGCCGCCTGAACTCCTTCCGCCTTTTTCATCACGAAAGCCACGTTGCGTGCAAGATAGGGGGCATATGGTTAAGGGCACAATGAAAACAACACCCAGGCGCACGATTTTTTGTGTCTGCAGTAACCATGATAAACATGTGTCGGCAAGCGGACACACGTTGACGACCGGCCAGCTGTGTCCGTTCCCTGAACAAATGGGAACCAGAACACGCCGCGCGACTCGCGAACCCTACACCGGACGACTTGTGCACTCTGATATGAAACCCATCAAAATCGACGTCTTCGAAACCGCAGAGGCGCTAGATTATTCAGTGAGGCAAGCGGTAGTGCTCTACGTGCCTCACCATACCCCACACCACCCCAAGCTTGAAACTCACACCTCACACGTTGACTTTCAACCACCGTTCCGTCATCTTCGCGGCAAACTATTTGGAGCGTATTTCCGGAAGTTCCATCGAGGGCCCCACCGAAGCACTCCTGGGTTAAGGGTCTCGCCCTCTATTCCTGCCTGAGGCGCCAAGAATCGCGGGCTAACATCGACCAGTCCTTGCAACTGCTCATCGCACAGCTATCACGAAGCGGACTGCTTGCCACGCGAAGAAACACCACAAACGTACTACTATGTAGGACGTATGCCCGCCGTGCACATTAACACGCCCACACCCACTGCTGCGCGAGCCAACAGCCCTCAGAACATATAAATATGAATGCACATATTTGTAGGCACACACCTGCCGCATGGTCATGTCCACAAGGTCTGTCTTCAGCGCCCCCGCGGGCAGAAAAGCCATGCCGACCATAGGCGCCAGGCTCTGCGCCGGCTTGACGAAGAGCGCCTGTAGTCCGTGTACCGACACCGACATGCTCTCCGGCCTCTTGTTGCGGAGGGTGTCTTCGTCTATCACCTTTCGGAACAAAAAAAAACAGGCGTCCTGCTTAGGGAATTATAGTGCTTCCGCTAACGCTACCGATATGGATTCATTGCTATTTGGTTATCCTTGGCTCATCTGTGGATAGATATGGGTTCGTTGTGTATTTCGGAGGGGAAAAAAAAAGGTGGCATCGAAAATGGAAGACCACGGACGAGATGCTTGGCACGATAACAGTTCACTATCGTACACTTCTTGTGGCTGAGCCTCCTTTTCTCGTTTAAGAAGAAGACGGAGTTGTGATTCTTGATAAATACCCCGCGATACATTCGACGTAAGCTCGTGTCGAATTGAATTGATTGACAGCACTTGACAAAAAGCGTGATACACATCGCATAATCCGACCAAGGTCGAAATCCGCAAATTGAGGTTGGACAAGTGTTATCTCAAGGGCGTCGCGCCACGGCATACAATACCGCTTGATGGATGAAAACACCACATCATTCTTGTAACGCTCTGCACAAACGACGGTGCAAAGTGGAAAGAAGTATGGCACAAATAAAACTCCATCAAAGTCCTACCAGACCCATAGCACTTCAATTGGCGTTGCTAAAACCTCAGCCAACGATCCCGTACCCCCGCTCCCGGAGCCCCCATGGTACCACGGAACCCCCCACGACACTTTGGTGGTGACGGGCTGGATGGAACGCTCGATAGCCTAGGCAGCGGGATCATCGCGCTCTGCCAAGAAGACTTGTTATTCCCCCCCCCCAGCTCACTCAAGGAACGATTGGCCATCGGTGATCGGTCCTGTGGGAACAACGCCCCGTCCGCTCGAAGACGCGTGGTCGATGGTCTACAGGCTAAGGCATGCAAAACATAAAAGCACGCCTCCGCGCCTACAAGCACTATTGCACGAGGTGCCTCCCCCCACACACACACCATTGCGTTTGGTATTTGTGCGAGGCTGGTATAGTGAGAACTCGGTGTGCTCCGTCCCGGCTTTGTAGGGATACGTGGCCAATGGTCTAGGGACTACAGAATGCACGAATATGAGACCCCCCTCCTCACTCACATCGGAGAACGACAGGTTGTAGAAGCCCCAAGCGGTCGCCGCCAGGCGGTTTCCTAGAAACAGAAGCGTCCACATCGGCCACGCCTGCCTACCGCAGGCGAACATCAGCACCCCGGCGACTAGCTTGAAAAGGGCCGCCCCCATGATGAGCTTGTAGGTGCCGTACCGGTCCGCGACGGGCGTGAGGACCTGGGTCATAAGCTGCACGCGGTTCCGTCGTGTATCGTGCAGGTTTGTAAGGCCGGAGGCGGCATGGGGGGGGGGCGACGTGTCGGTGGGCGACGGGAGTGAGAACCGGGGTCATAAGCTGCAGGCTATACGGTCGTGCAGGCGTGGTTTGGGAGGAGGGGGGGG